CTTTATTTAAATAGTCACTGTGTTTCTCTTTTTTCAATGTTCATATAAGAAATAATCAATAAGTTATTAAAGTACAGTACATTTATACATATGATTTGTTCAGACTTTTTCTTTCGTGTATTTGCAATTCTTTGAGTTAATTGAATAATGTCATAAAATAATTCAAAACAGGGGGTGGGCAAGTTTTACTGCCCTTGACAAACAGCAGTAAAAAAGGTGGTAATAAGTTGCTCTAAATGTGTCAATATTTAAATTTTAGTGATTTTTTCTTATTTTGAAACTGTTGTATTTGTTGCGATACAATAGAAAAAAAATAAGTGTCCTATTAATAGGGGTTATTTGACCATTTGGCACACTCAAAAGGTGTCTCCGTCACCTTAATAGGGGTTTGCCGCTGTGTTAAAAGATATATCACCCCTCGTTTCACAGAAAAGTGTCCCCTTAATGGAGATGTCCCCTGAATAGGGGTGTCCCAAAGGAGGGGTTCTACTTAATTTATAACTGAGCATTTATTCATCCATTTTATGCATGTAAAAAACTTGAGATGTCTTCATGTAATTCACTAATATTTGTAGATTAATTTAAACACAATTAGGTCAGAATAAAAACATACTCCTTTATTGGGAACAGCTAAACGCAAAAGGGCAGCTTTCTTAGCTTCCTCCGCCTTCAGTTGTGTTTCATTCAGCATAATGACATCAGCAAACAGCTTAGGTTTCATCTGCATGCCAGGGTAAAGCCTGCCCTCAGTGCTGTTAAAGATAACGTCTAATGAACGTGGTAAGATGCCTCCATCCTGGGCACTACCTGTATTAAATTGAAAAGCAGTCACATAATTAGAAACAAATGTGGAATGTGTTCATCAGGGAAATCACTGCATCGTACAACGGTCAAATTCAACTCCGCTCTCTGCGAGAGCTACACCATCTGCTAATTTTCGGTGGCCAACTAAATGATTGAGCATATGCGTCGTGGCATTAGGCGAATGTCGGCTTTAGGCAAGACTTTTTTTATACCTTATTATAATTTTATTTTTATTTTCTCCTCTGGATGTTTTTGGCAAAATCCATTTGCTAAGTAAGAAAACAAAATTCTATTTTCATTTTTTTTCTCCGCCCACAATGATCTTTAATACAATAAGTTAGCGAAACAAGTTATAAAAAACAGTCTCGCCTTAGATGCAAACAGGACATAAGGACTGTTTTCCAGTTTGACAATTATTGTGTTAAGAAAAATATAAAAGAAATGACAGCACCACTTTTGAAACTAACAATATATACTTTATTCTCTGGCTTTCATCCACACAGTGGACATCATCAGGAGAAAAGTTATAAGAAAAGTTATAGCATGACTAAATTATAAGAAGCCAATGCAATTAATGATTCGTACATTCTTGTTTTCTTGCAGGGCGATGAAAGGAATAAAGAAAAATGCTTTAAAATACTAAGAGAATTAACTTGCCTTGTATTGTGTGTGTTTTCCCAGCATTTGTGACACCATACGTAAACACTAAGCAGTTCTGTCCATCTACAAAATCCTTCACGGTTCCTAACATCGTCTCGTCAAAGAACCGCTTTTGACTGGTATCTTCATGAAAAATGTTTGAGAAGGTATATTTGTGCGTCAAAGCTCCACCCACACGTGTAATGTTTTTGAAGTTGAAGCTTTCACGGGGGGCATGCATAAGTAGAAACGAGTTATCCACCACTTCCATACAATCCTGTTTTAATAGAATAATCAAAAAATCATTCTTTGTACACACAATCATTCTTAGTACACAATCATTCTTTGTACACACAAGTTTTATAAGTCAGTAATGACGTCATTATTTCATTTCCACATAATTTTCCTACTCTAAAGTACACTAACTTGATTTGGAAATAATGAAAAAAAAATATGTAGAGTCAGTGGTAGCCGTTTGGCACAGTGGCTTCACTTTAGCTTGTATTTTAAATTCTGTTGATATACAAAATGAGGGTGTTTTTAGCTTAAAGCAATTCTCAACTGAACATAAGAATCAACTTTACATCAAAAACTAATTTGATCATTTTGTGTCTTTGATATTTATTTACATACTTTTTGGTATTATTACTTTCAATTATTATTGTGATTATTGATATGATTGTCATTGTTAAGTATAATTGTATGTATGTCTTATTGTTGTATGACAATCTCCTACTCTTTTATGAAGAAATGCTTCTTTAACATGCACATGGGCCACATTGCACGGAGGACCAACAGCTTAAATGATTTTTTTGAAAGATGAGGTGCTTTTCTTATTCCGTATGCATTTCAGTCCTCCAGTTGAAATACAAGAATGGATAGAATTGAACCGGAATCTCCATGGTCCAGAGCCTACACAGTGGCGGTTTAGCTATATGCTACATATCTCAGCTTTTGAAATTTGAGTTGTCCCTCACTGTGCATTTATTGCTTGTGTCCTTGGGGCATTAATGTGTACCTAGCACAAATTATCTTTAAAAAGTTTTAGAAGGAACTTTTTTACCTGTGACTCGCCATCTTCTACTTCAGTACCAGTGAAGGGCCGGATTCTTAAATACACTTTAATCGGTTCTTTATTGTGTGCCACCGATTGCCGTGTCATCTTCATTGGCGTAAGCAAGTTCTCAAAGAGATCTTTTCGGACAATGCTTCCTGTTGATATTTCAACATCATCATCATCAAAGGTTTCATCTTCGCCATCTAAAAGGTCATACTTCAAAGCGGCCATCTGAAAAACAATATGTAACATTTAATCCATACTGTATATACTGTAAGGCCTGCGTGGGGAATATATCCTCTGTGCAAAAATTTGGTCTAGAATATCCATTGTTGCATTTCAGAAAATAGGGGCAAATTTCCACACAGATTTTGCCAAAATTAGGCTGACCTGATCTTAAAAATATATAAAAACAATGTTTTATGCAGTATTTACGATTCTGCTCACCTATTTTCCTATTCATTTCCGTGCAAATTTGATCTGGTTTTTGAGGTATCATCCACGCAGTTTAAATACTTTACAGTGTGGCATTTATTTAATCACCTATCGGCACTGCCACAGTGCAAAAAAAAAATCTGCTGTTTTCTATCGGCACCGCCGCAGTGCAAAAAAGCTGCTGTCTGCATTGTTGGAACTAGTTAATATGTTGACGGTTTCAACAATATTTTTGACAATAATATGGCTAGGCCGCTAGTCCTAATAAATCATTGATACAATAGTATTTATCTATCGATTGAAACATCAATTTCGAATTAACAGCAGCTTTTCGACTGTGGCAATGCCGATCGGCGATAGAAAACTGCAGTTTTTGGCACTGCAGTGCCGATAGAAAACAGCAGCTTTTTTCACACTGCATGCAGCAGTCATTAGACAGCAACAGCTTTTTTCGCACTGTGGCAGTGCCGATAGAAAACAGCAGCTTTTTCGCACTGCAGCAGTGCCGATAGCCACTGCGGATCCTAGACCTGACCTAGGCTAAAAAAGTTACTTTGCACAGACGGAAAATCACAACCACAGGATGTGTCCACAAAACTTTATCCTTTTTTAAAAATTAAGAACACTAACTACCTACGATAGAAGAATAGACCGAGGAGGCCTAACTAGGAAGGAGGCAGAGGCCCAGTGTCTAGGCCTAGGACGTCCTAGCTACCCTACGTATAGCTCGCGTCTCCTACCTAGACTAGGGCCCCCTAGCCTAGCAGGGAGGCCTAGCCTAGCCAAGGGCCTAGCCTAGGCCTACAGCAAACAACAATCCGTCTTACTACTAGGCAGTAGGCCCTAGGCCTACTCTTAAAACATAAGACTCTAGGATTCATAAATGCTAATTTTAGTGCTAATGCACTTACAGTACTAAAGTATCAGAGATTAACAATAACACCAACGTTTCAGTTTGTTTTAAAGTTCACTAAAATTAGGAATTCTAGGCTTACAACAATAGATACACACCTCAACTTTCGCTCCTTTTGCAGGCGGCCAGCTCACATTTCAATTTTCAAATAGTGTTGCTGCCTGAGCTGCAAACAGAAACTAACCAATCACCTGAATAGTGTGTTGTGATTGGTCAATCACAAATGACGTAGATTTCCATGACCTCTATAAGGAGGTTGAGTTAAAAAAAAAAAATCAGTTATATCAATATTGTTGAAGAATTAATTTGACACATGAACTTCACCAGTATAAATAGGCCTACCCAAGTGACCTGTGATTTATTGTGTAATTTTGAGATGCCCGTTGAAATGTTTTGGCAAAAAAAAAAAAAAAAAAAAAAAAAAACATTTTTGAATGGCAATTTTGATACTTTCAAATGGATAAATCAGAAACTTTTTGAAGAGTGGCAAATTTAAATTTATGGCAAATCAGAGATGAATTTTGTTTGTGATTCTTTAAAATACCCAATCTGAGGCAACAATAACAACGTTAAAAGTGCAATAAAAAGCCTGAGGGCTTTTGATTCGACAGAGACATATCCAGTTTAAATCTGGTAGATATTCAACTGAGACCTGTGCAACTTGCTGGAAACATGCTCAAGCTTATAAAATGCCGGATTGTATATAATTAACCACATATGAAGAAGTTAAATGGGCCATGTCTCAGTGCAAGTTGCTTGATTGTGAAGCTATAAATGAAGACCAGTCGGTGGCCTAATCCTGAGGGACGTAGGATTTTAAAAGGGTGGGGGCTGTCTCTTATACACATCTATGCGAGGCACGTAGTACCGAGCGGGGGTGGGGTATCCCCTCCCTACGGCTGGGGAAGCCAAAGACCCAAATGGGGTCCAGGCGGCGAATTCCCCTGGGAGGTGCGCACTCTGAACGTTTTTATGACTGTTTTGGACAAACTGAAAATTGCAATAGACGCATCATAAATAATAGCCTAATAAGCCTAACAATTTCACTGGGGTGCTGAGGTGAGAAAATATGAGGAAATAGTACCTGTAGATGGCCGGAATAACAATTTTATATAGTAAAATTCATCATCATCATCACATAACCGTTATATAGTCAAAATGAAGCGCCAACAAATTTCTCGTGATCTTCTATGAGGATCTATGGTACAATATCCAGGACACAACTTAGGCTAACTAGGCCTATAAGCTTACTAGCTTTAACTAGGCCTACTATAATAATTATGATCAACAAATCACAACTTTCTTTTTCGCCTTTAGCCAAATGTTCTTCACTTTTTGATATTATTAATATTACAATCTATTATTATTTTATCAACACCATCGTCATCATCATCATCATCATCATCATTGTCATCATCATTAGGCCAAAAAAATCTTGTGTTGGCCACGTTTTATGGGGGAAAATGGGTAGCTCGGTAGGAATTTTTTTTTTCTTTATTAATAATGTAGATATAAAAAGTATAAAATACACAAAAATACAACAAAGACCATTTTTAAATCTATATTTAAACGATTGCATAACACTGTCGCATCGTCTGCCCTCGAAAGGCCATTCTAGCCTTTTTAGCTAATTACAAAAGTATTTTTCGTTGTAGTAAAAAAAATAAATAAATAAATAAAATTCCGACCCTCAAATTGTTTTTTGTTTGACCTTATGGTGGGTTTTTTTTTTTTATCAGAGCAGGGGTCACAAACATAAGGAGTCAATTAGAAATTTTACAGCATTTAAATCAACACCATCCGTGTTTTTTGTTTTAATTTTGTTATTGAATAAAAGTTACACGTCGTCTTCGGAGTTGTCTGTAACATCACATAGCGTATGACAGCAAAATGATTTATAACATACCATGTTCAATTTGTATTTGTAATTTGTGTAAAAAATCACGTTAAGGCTAAGGCCCTAGTGTTATAATAATATAGTAGGCCTATTTGGTCTAATATGTATAACGTTAGATTGCCAAGGCGAGTATAACGTGTGCTGATCAATATGCCTTTACATGTTTTAGAAGTATACATTTTCAGTGATCCCAGGAATGAATTTGTATTGGCTGCAAGAACAAGCTTTGAAATGTTAACACTGTGTACAAGGGGTGTGGGTAGCCGCGGCTCCTACGGCTTCTCCATGGATACGTCCCTGGTTTATAATAACGAAACAAAAAATAAAATGTAGGCTAAAACAATATGTCCTGCAATACCTAAAATTTCGCTAAAGATTAATTAAAATAAAAGCATTATCACAAGAAGTGAATTGTCTGTTAAAGATAAATTCCAAAACACACTAGGCCTACACAGTCAAGACAATTGAATGTGAACCATAAGTATTGGAAAAATATTTTAAAGATAGTTATTTTGACTGGGAATCAGTTATACATAAGGTTACCAAAACTAACAAAATTAATAATAGAAAAGTAACATTTACCTTTGAAGTCATCATATTTGAGTTAAAATGTTAAAATCAATGAAGTAATTTCAATACTTGTTGAAAGGGCACCGTAACTTGGCGACCCATCCACCATTCATTCAACTAATGAACATTTGCTCCACTGAAAAAGGTCATATTTCGATTGACTCCTATTTTTGCAAACAATTGACTGTTTTTTTTTTTGTATTTTTTTTTTTTTATGTTTATTAAATAACCTATTAGTATTAGTGTATTTGACCTGTAACCTACAGGCTAGAAAGTATTTTTACTTTGACAGAAAATAGGGCCTATATAATGTCTATGCAGATTTTTTTATGATCGGAAATAAATGCAAGAAAAAAAAAAGAGGGAAGAAGGAGGAGAGGGAGGGGAAGGAGAGTATTTATCCAGTCCATGACCGAGTTACATTTTCTAGCATTTCACATTGGTGGATCTGGGGTCAGGGGGTCCTGACCCCCTCCTTTGGGCAAAAAAAAAAAAAGAAGAAAGTTAAAAAAAATTCTAGACTTTTGCAGGACCCGTGAGCTGAATTTTTTTTGTTACAATAAGAAAATCAAAGTCGGGAAAGCTCATTTTCCGCCATAGGATTCAAAATTTTAGGTAGGTCTAGATATATATATATATTTTTTTTTTGTCCCAAGAAGAGGGGGGGGGGGCACCTCTACATGGCCGGAAATGACACTCTCAGACCTAATTTTCTGTGCAGATGTCCTTTACATCTGTCTGTCTCTTATACACATCTAGATGTGTATAAGAGACAGTCCTAGACCTGACCTAGGCTAAAAAAGTTACTTTGCACAGACGGAAAATCACAACCACAGGATGTGTCCACAAAACTTTATCCTTTTTTAAAAATTAAGAACACTAACTACCTACGATAGAAGAATAGACCGAGGAGGCCTAACTAGGAAGGAGGCAGAGGCCCAGTGTCTAGGCCTAGGA